AGAGGGTACACATAAGTGGATTGTGACAGAGATATTCTTTTAGCAATAAAAATCTTTGCAAACATTGCAAATTTCTTCCTTGCACAAAATGCTAATACACGTTGCAGTACAGAACTGTATGTGCAAGTGAAAACAAACTTCTGTTTTTTTTATGTGACAGTTCGACGAAAGATGTTATTGCAGCCACTTGAGGCGCTTTCGTATAAAACAGTATATACAAATAACAACAATCTCCAAGGAACATAAGTTGACAATTCACGAAAGACGTTGCTGCGGCCACTTCAGGCACTGTCATATAAAACATTATATACAGATAACAACATTCGCCAGAGAACATAGATTGACAGGTCATGAAAGATTTTATTGCAGCCACTGGGGGCATTGTCATTAAAAAATATATACAAAATAAAAAAAAAAGATCCCCTTGGATGTGAGAAAAAAAAGGTACAGTAATCGACACTTAGTTGTTGTGATCCTCTGGAGGCTGGGCCAGGTGCTGGGCCTGGGGCTCGGCCTGGGGTTCGGCCTGGGGCTCGGCCTGGGGCTCGGCCTGGGGCTGGGGCTGGGGCTGGGGCTGGGGCTGGGCCTGGGGCTGAGGCTGACGCAGAGCGTGGCTGGACAGCAGGAGGATGACCTCTCGCATGAAGGCAGCGTTTTGCTGCATGGAGAGGACCCCCTCCTGGATGTTGTCTGCGATCCGGTCCATGCTCTGCGCCTGCTGCTCCACGTGCTGCGCCAGCTGCCCCACGTTCTGTGCCAGCTGGTCCAGCCGCTCCAGGACCTGCCCCATGCCGAGCGTGATCTGAAACATGATTTGCAGATTTCTTGACTTCCAACATCTCATACAGGTTACGAAGACTTTGCTGACACCAACTATTAGTACCTCATGTGTGAAGTAAGTCTGTGTTTAATCATGTTACTGTGCTTCAGGATTTGTCAACATTACCTGTCCCTGGAACCTTTCGTCTCTCGTATCGCGGCCTGCGTTGGCGTCGAGCAGGCGCTGCTGGTTAGCCACGGCCGAAAAGGCCGCCTCGTCCCGCTGCTCCTGTCGAGAGTCTCGAGGGACTCGACGAGGCTGCCTTGGTCGAACCGTAGCTCGCCGTGCTCGAGGCCGTGGCATTTCTGCAGGAAAACATAGTTTAGATCAGTAATAAGTGTGGTCATGTTCATGTTGCTGACGGTTTTAGTTCCTCTTAGTCAAGTCAAGTATCTTACGCGTTGAGGTAGATGCCTCCTGATTCGCGTCCTCCTCCTCCTCCGCCTCCTCCTCGAGCACCTCCCCCGCATCCTGCGAAGCTGGGTGCTCCTCTGCCGGGGCGCCCACAGACTGCGCCTACAAGGCACATTTATCGTTACGTGTTTGCACTGCATGCCCTGTAACATGTGCAATCTATGTTTTTTTATGGAATCAAATGGAGCTATGCTCCAGCTTTAGATTCTACACAGGTTTGCCCCTGTAGTAACTTTTGTAGTTTGCTGTAAAAACAATACTGCAAATGAATGACTTGTGGTAAACCTCTTGTGAGCGCCAGGCAAGTAGCTGCTCCCTGTCGTGTGCGTATTAACCTATAAGAGTTGTACATGTTGCATACTATCGGGAAAAACAGATAAGTAGATGATTCATTGCAGCAGCTGAATGTTGCTGGTAGTGCTGTGGCTGACGCTAGGATGTACCACTCCCATTTACATGTCATTGCAATCACCTTTTATGTAAACTAACCACCTTACTACAGCTCTCATCAATGTTTCTAGGTCTAAGCAAAGTTGGGGCCGAACCCAGGAAAAGTATTTGGCAGTCCATGATGAATTTTGAAGCTCAGACTCCTCCTCCTCTCCTGGATATGGCCTTGAGCCCAGGAACTATTTACATACACGTCCCATAGTTTTTAATAGTTATCACACGTGCAGTCCTTTCAGGGTTAGCCTGTACAGGGACAAGTCAATTTTCCCTCTGTACACCCTAGAGTTGGCGGGATTTTGAAAGGGACCGATAAATAAATTAACGATTTGTTGCTTATATTTATCACTTTAAACAATGACTATTGTAACCCACCAATGAAACTATCAACAAATGTTCAGAAAGCTTAACCCAATTTTGGGACCACGTAGGTAACGAAGTGCCAATCCTGCTTTCTTCACTTCTTTCTCAGGTAAGTTCATTGAAATTTTAATGCAATGCTTCCATTAGTTTTAAGATACAGATTTAAGCGTTCACTTCATACACTTGCCCCGCCTCCTGGAACTCTGCAAAAATAAGCAATACATGCAGATTGTTGTGCTGTTCCCTGGTCAAGTACGTACCTCCTCCTCCGGAAAGTAGGGGACACGAAACCCGGGGTCGCCCAGGGCAGAGCCTACACCGACAATGCACAGGATGCGGGAGTAGGTTGATGAGAGCCGCGCCCGGGAGGAGCCTCCCCCCGTTTTGCGGCTGTGAATACAAAATATGTATATATAACTCTGTCCCGAGTATTTATCTTCTGCCTAGCTTACCTCTCAGCCTCGACTACTGCGCACCGCTTGCGGGCTTTGGAGACGCGGTTCATCCAAACCCTCTTCCACCGCTCTGTGCTGCGCGGCGGCCCGAGGTGGTTCAGCCGGCAGGTCAACTCGGCCCACAACCTTGCCTTGTCATCTCTGGTCAGGCTAGGCGAGAGGTCAGAGGCCCCACGAGCCAGTTCGCGATGTGCAAACATAAAATTGTCCATTTCTTCTTTTTGTAATCATTGACTGGCTCGCAGGGCTCTCTCTCGCTTGCCTGATCAGACATGACAGACATGATTGAGGCGGTAAATTGTCGTCTGCTATCAGTTTTCGAAAAACGCGCGCGTCCGCATCCCGCAATTGTTGCCGGCAGCTTTTACATCACATAACTTCGGTTTCACTTTTCTTTTCAGTCCAACTAAAGAAAAACGTGCTAATTTCATCAGCATTCAAAGTTTTTTTTATTTACGACGTTGTGTAAAATAAATTATATGTGACGGTGAGCGTCGCACTCCCTTGGCTACTGTCGGCTCGATACAAGTACAAGAGTCGTTGGCTTGGTTCGCTCGTTTGGCTTCGTGTCTTCACGGCCGTGCATCGGAAGTGTGTCGTAGTTAATTACTGCGATGTCGTCATGGCGTCAGAAGGTGAGTTTCCGCGATCCGTGGTGTTGCTAAGAAACGTTCATTCACACCTACGTCACTTCCCTCTCCCTAGTCTCCTGGGGGGCTATTTTGCTCTTTTTGCACTCCCAGGAGACTAGGGAGAGGGAAGTGACGTCAACGACACAGCAAACGCAGATTGGGTGTTGATTTCGTTTTCTTCTGTCAACATCCAATCTGCGTTTGCTGTGTCGTTGACGTCACTTCCCTCTTCCAAGTCTCCTGGGAGTGCAAAAAGCGCAACATAGCACCCCAGGGAGTGCAAAAAGCGCAACATAGCCCCCCAGCTCCTGGGTGAAACACAGCTCGTCGTTCCAAGCAAGACTATGGTTCAGACAACCGAACTAGCCGTGGATAAAAGACAGTTATTATAGCTCAGTCGTCAATGGAATTATTACGTGCTACAAACTGGTGACTCGGACGTCGAATCCCTGCCTGTTAGTTAGTTGTGCTAACCTACAACTGCTGAAATGACGGACCCAAGACTACACGCCGATGCCTCCACCGGTGAGCCTTCCTTGCTGGCTGCGAACATCGACAGCACAAACTTCAAGCTTCCCGCCTTTTGGAATGGCGACGCAGAACTCTGGTTTCTACACGTCGAGGCCTAATTTCGGTCACACCGGATTGCATCGCAAAGGCCCCGGTTCGACTTCGTAATAGCTGCGCTACCTCAAGGTACTGCCGCGATAGTTCGCGACATTCTACGTGCACCACCCGATAACTCTTAAGATCGCCTTAAAGAAGAACTTACTCACCGCACCACGGAATCCGAGCAACGCCGCCTACAACAACTCTTGACGACAGAAGAGTTAGGAGACCGAAAACCAACAGACCTCTTACGACGAATGCACCAACTGCTTGGTGATCAGCCTGACACAGTCGAGGCATCAACTTTCAGAGAACTTTTCCTTCAACGGCTCCCAAACAACGTCCGTATGATCCTGTCCGCCTCAGAAATAACAGCTACCGAGGCCTTAGCTCGCATGGAAACCAGGATCATAGAGGTCAATACACCTACCATCTCGACTCTTGGTACAACCAGACCATCATCACCTCCGAGCAAGGGCTCTATAGAGAAACTCAACGCCGTCGTCTCACAACTTTCTGAAAAGGTGGACCAACTTAACACCGAAGTGTCCTCCCTTCGGCTGGCTGAGCCCCGATCAATAAGCAACGATCAGAGATCACCGAATTGGCAACCTCGAACGGGACGACCCCGGACAAGTAGAACACCCGCCGGGGAACCTAATCTACACTGCTGGCACCACCAAAAATTTGGAGAGCAAGCCCGCCGCAGCATTCATCCCTGGGCTTAGCAGGGAAACTTCCAAACCACGCATTAAAGACGGCAAATGCAGTGGTACCTGGGGCCGCTTGCTCGAACGAGTTGAGACACAACTTGAGACAGTCTCAGCCGAGACCAAACTTGAGCCACTTGCTCGAAACGAAACTTAGTCTGGACTTGAGACTGAAACCGAGTCTCTGACTCAACTTGTGTCTCAAGCCGGGAGACAGTCCTGTAGCAAATTAGCTGGCGGCCGATTTAAGACCCAAACGGAGACCCAAACTGAGACAGTCTCAGCGGTTAGCCACTTGCTCGAAACGAAGAGCAAAATCGAGCCTCTGACTCAGTTCTAGTCTCAGATCGTGAGACAGTCACGGAGAAGGCTCACTGGCGTTCTAAGAGTAAACAAAATGTCGGACGTGGCTACGACAAGTCGGGCCCAAGCCATCTTTGCCGCGTGGACGGTGTCGCGGGACCGCGTATTCGGCGACCGCTTTCACTCCTTCGACGTTTTCGGCGAAAAGGGCCTCCAGCGTCGTTTTCGGTTTGGCCGCGATGGCATCATGTACATTGCCGACGTCTTGGCCAGCGACCTCACGCGACCAACGAGACGCAACCACGCAACCCCCGTCCTGATTCAAGTGCTCCTAGCGCTGAAATTCTTCGCTACCGGCACCTTCTTGATCACGGCGGGGGACTTTCTGCATCTGCACGAATCCACAACGTCACGGTGCGTGTGACGAGTCACCCTAGCTCTCGCCAAGCAAGCGCCGCACTTCATACGGTGAGAAGAAAAAAAAGTCCTAACACTAGCGTTTCTCTTTGCCAGTGGGCCAGTCAGCTGCTGCGTAATTTTGGATTGTGGGGAACAGAGACTTATTCAACTTGTTTCGTGAGAGAAAAGACTTCTTCTACTTGTTTTCGTTACAGAAAACCTTTTTTTTCACCAACATGCAGCGCCATTATTTCGCCCTCGATATACGTGCTCAAAGCGATGTTTGGTTATTACTACGGTCCGTAATGGTGGGGGCAGTTCTCGGCACTACTTTGTATTGTGGCGTGTTTCTCATTACGAAAAAACAACGTGTTTCACGACATGTTAGCGGGATTAACTGGTGGACACTGAAGAACGTTTCGGAAAGGAGGGTGCGTTTCAAAACAGTAGCGAATAATACGTACTGGTTCACACTCGATCGTGACAAGCTTCATGGGAACGGTCCGACTACGTCATAATCGAACATGTGCTAGATTCAACCAACGTTATAATTTATTTGGTTTCAATTGACAGTGTAAACCATATCTTCTACTTCAGGTGGCCAACAGCAGCGGAAGTCCCCGAACTGCAGCGGCAGTTCTACGCCGTGGACGGCTTTCCGGGCGTCGTAGGAGCCATCGACGGCACCCACGTTCGGATCCAAGGGCCACCGCTGCACGAGGAAGTGTTCGTGAACCGACACTTCTACCATTCCATCAACGTGCAGCTGGTGGTCGACGCGCGCTCAAGGATCCTCAACGTGGTTGCCAAGTGGCCCGGAAGCGTCCACGACTCGTACGTGCTGTCGCAGAGCAGTGTCGGGGAGAACTTCGCAACGGCCGCGTACGGCGGCCTCCTCATCGGCGAGAGCGGCTAGCCGTGTAGGCCTTGGTTGATGGCGCCTTCCCGATAGCCGACCACGCCGGCCGAGTGTGCGTACAACCAGACGCACGCAACGACTCGGTCCGTGGTCGAAAGGTAGGCTTTAGAGCTAGCTGCTCTCAGAGAAGACTAAGGCTATACGCACGACGTCGTGCACCTCGACCAGAGAATGGTAAACGCACGACGTAAAACGGTTTGGTTCTCGTATAAAAAAGTGAAAGTCGTTTACAACTCCCTGTAATGCCGCATTGGAGCGCAGCTCTTGAGGAGGAGAGAAGAGTACTGAGGGGAGGGTGGACCCCTCCTCCTCCTCCTCCTTCTCCTCCTCCTCCCCTCATTCTTTTGTAGCGAACAAGCGGGCAACACCATCTACACCGTACAGCAACGTGCACCAACGCACGCACTGCGAACGAGGCAGGAGCCTCGCACCACGAGCGGCACACACGCGACACAGAGCTCCGATGGAATACGCCGGCTGGAACCCAGGCTCGTCTCACCCGACATAGACATTATCTCGGACTGGCCCGTTTGTAAATATCTATATTTAAATTTTGTAAATAATAAGTGTGTCAGCAAAGAATGCCTCTCGGTATGTTGACCACAAATTGGTGACCCGGACTGCCAGATACCTTGGATTACGTGCCTCCAGCTCCGAGACGTCCCACCCCGATGGTCACGGAACATCAGATGGCGATGCAGCGGCCGGGTCTGCAACCTTCTCTTCACACGCTGCCACCATCCACCTGAAGCTTCCCGATTTTTGGACAAATGATTCAGAACTTTGGTTCCTTCACGCGGACGCCCTTTTCCGCAACAACCGCATCAATTCTCAGCGAGCCAAATTTGATTATGTCGTGACGGCCCTGCCCCAGGCGACCACATCAATCGTAAGAAATCTCCTCCGCACTCCTCCGGAAAATCCTTACGATGGCCTAAGGGATGCGTTGATCCAGCGTACTACCACCTCCGAGCAGAAATGGCTGCAACAGTTGCTGACCGCCGAAGAACTAGACGACCGCAAGCCGTCCCAACGTCTTCGTCGCATGCAGCAGCTACTAGGAGATAGAGCCGACAACCTGGATAATTCACTCATCCGAGAGCTCTTTCTCCAAAGGCTTCCCAATAACGTGCGCATGATACTTACAACATCCGACACAACGTCCTTGGAAGCGCTAGCACGCATGGCGGACAAGATCATGGAGGTTGGTTCCCCAGCTGTCTACGCCACCCAACAAGTGCTTCCCATGCAGCAGGTTCCACCTCTCCCCACCGACATGAAGCTTTTTGAGATCATCCATCGTCTCTTATCAAAAGTCGACCAACTATCGGTGCAGGTTGCCGAACTACGAGCGTCGACCACCTTTCGTCCTCGGTCTCGCTCCTCCAGTTTCCACCGAACCACTGGAGGCAGAAGCTCTCCAAACCCAACACACCGCATCTGCTGGTACCACAAAAAGTTCGGTGATGCGGCAAACAACTGCTCGCCACCCAGCTCTAGGGGAAACGTGAGAACACCACGTTAAAGGCGGCCAATGTGGTGATCCCAGAAAAGAGCCGTCTTTTCTTCATCACTGACAAAACCACCAAAATTCGATACCTCGTGGACACCGGCGCGGAAATCTGAGTTTATCCTTCAACTCCGGGTTGTTCCTCAGGCCATCTTCACCAAGCTTGATCTCGTGAAGGCCTACCATCACATCCCAATTGCGCCAGAAGACATTCCAAAGACAGCGATTGTGACACCTTTTGGATTGTTTGAATATGTGCGGATGCCATTCGGCCTAAGAAACGCCGCTCAAACATTCCAACGTTTTATGGACCAAGTGCTGCGAAACCTTCCATTCTGTTTCGCATATTTGAATGACATTTTGGTGCTTAGCAAGACGTCTGAAGAGCACCTATGTCATCTTCAAACGATCTTCGAACGTCTAGACGAATTTGGTGTCACCATCAATGTGCAAAAATTCACATTCGGCGTGTCCGAACTGGACTTTCTCGGACACCGCCTCAACAAGGACGGCATTCAACCTCTGTCGTCCAAAGTCCAAGCGATCCAGGATTTTCCACGACCAACCAATGTGCGACAACTTAGAGAATTCCTGGGACTTATCAATTTCTACCGTCGCTTTCTCCCAGGATGCGCTGCTGTACTTCGCCCACTGAATGCTTTCCTCGCGGGAGTCAAGGTGAAGACTTCACTTCTAGCCTGGAACCCCGCAGCCGAGGAAGCCTTCGTCAGAATTAAGAACCAGTTAGCCAACGTGGTACTCCTGACGCATCCCAGTGCGGGCGCAGCAACTTCCATCATGGTCGACGCCTCGGACACAGCGATCGGCGCAGTTTGTCAGCCGTTGACTGATGGATGCTGGTGCCCCATCGCATTCTACTCGAGGTCACTGTCCCCTACAGAAGTGAAGTACAGTACCTTTGGACGTGAGTTACCACCTACTCCGCTGTCAAGCACTTTCGTCACTTTCTGGAAGGGAGACAATTCTTCATACTCACAGATCACAAGCCGCTGACGTACGCCATTGCCTCTCGCAGTGCTGCGCACTCCCTGAGAGAAATTCGTCAGCTGGCATTCATATCAGAATTTACAACGGACATCAGGTTCATCAAAGGACTTGAAAACATTGTAGCCGATATTCTTTCCCGCGTTCACATCGATGCATCTTTTCTGGAACATCCACCTCTGGACTACTCGGCCCTCTCAGCTTCCCAGAAAAATGACTCTGAACTCCAGACGCTGCTCAGTTCCTCCTCCTGTTCACTGGAGCTCCAGGAAGTCCAGACAGACTTATCATCGCCAACACTCGTATGCGACGTTTCAACCGGTCAGCCACGTCCTTAGCTCACTCGAGATTTTCGATGCCAAGCCTTCAACATACTTCATTCCCTGGCACACCCTGGTATCAAGTCAACACAAAGACTTGTTTCATCTCGGTATGTATGGCCTGGGATGAACTCCGACGTCCGACGCTGGACACGTGCCTGCATCAACTGCCAGAGAACCAAAGTCCATCGCCATACTGTCTCACCGTCTGCGACATTTCAGCTTCCCCGCGGACGGTTCAGCCACCTCCACATGGACATCGTTGGCCCCCTTCCACCATCTCAAGGTTATCGGTACATCTTCACCGTCATCGATTGCTTCACCAGATGGCCTGAGGCGGTACCCCTAACATATATCACTTCTGAAGCCGTTGCATACGCATTCCTCACTTCGTGGGTTGCAAGATTCGGAATTCCTTCCACTGTAACCACAGACCGCGGAAGACAGTTTCAATCCAAACTATTCGCAACGCTATCAAAACTGCTTAGCTTCCATCACATCTCAACGACGTCATACCATCCGAGCGCGAATGAACTTGTCGAGAAATTTCATCGGCAGCTGAAAACAGCTATCACTGCCACGACGCCATCCACATGGAGTGAATATCTTCCGCTCGCCATGCTGGGAATGAGAGCTGCGCTTCAGATCGACCTTGGATGCAGCGCAGCAGAGCTGGTTTACGGCACCCCGCTCCGCCTACCAAGCGACTTCTTCTGTGCTTCACCATCCAGCTCTCTGCCTGACCCCCTCGACTACGTGGAAAGGCTCCGTTCCCACATGGCCACCCTCCGTCCTTCACCCACACGTCGAATCCGGCAACAAAATCTCTTTGTGAGCCCCGACCTTTCGACCGCCACGCACGCCTTCGTGCGCCACAATGCTGCGCGACACTCCCTACAACCAGCATACGACGGTCCGTACAAGGTCCTTAAAAGAGCTGAAAAGCACTTTACCCTGGCTTACCCGAACCGCGAAGACCATGTCTCAATCGACCGACTGAAGCCTGCGTATATCCTGAGCTCGGACGACACGGACAACCGCACAACGTGCACTGCGAATGTGGGATGCTCTGCCACGATGGACATCACGCATCCAACTCAACCCGATCAGGCCTGTCCCCGCAACGTTCGCTTCACTCTCCAAAACACTAACTAGCGCGCAAACAGCGTCTTCCACCGCTATTCCGCTAGGGGGGGAGCCCATGTAGCGAACAAGCGGGCGACACCATCTACACCGTACAGCAACGTGCACCAACGCACGCACTGCGAACGAGGCAGGAGCCTCGGACCACGAGCGGCACACACGCGACACAGCTCCGATGGAATACGCCGGCTGGAACCCAGGCTCGTCTCATCCGACATAGACATTATCTCGGACTGGCCCGTTTGTAAATATCTATCTGTAAATTATGTAAATAATAAGTGTGTCAGCAAAAAATGCCTCTCGGTATGTTGACGACACTTTAATATGCTCCGGGGGGTCACCTGACCTCAAGGGGAGGGGGTCACGTGACCTCGGGGAGGGGCCACGTGACCTCGGGGGTCAAGTGACCTTGGGGGGTCACGTGGGGTCACCTTGGGAGTCACGTGACCTCGGGGGTCACGTGTCCTTGGATGACCTAGGAGTCACTTGACCTCGGGGTCACGTGACCTTGGGTGACCTTGGGAGGGGTCACGTGACCCCCCAGGTCACCGGTCGCGTGACCTTGGGGTAACCTTGGGGTCACGTGACCTTGGGGTGACCTTGGTTACGCCGACGGCGACGCCAACGGCGACGGCTACGGCGAGGCCGCTCAAGCCGGAAACGGGCGCCTAAGGCCTGGTTCACACTTGCGAATCGGCGGGCGAATCTGCAAGAATTCGGCCGCCGGGCGTAGCGTCCACAGTGCATTGCCGCGGCTGATTCCGCTTCGGCGGCAGCGGATTAGCTGTAAGTGTGAACCAGGCCAAAGAGCTGCGCTCTAAAACACAACTGTCACAACGAGATTTTCAAAGTGACCATCGTGGCATTGCTGATAGGGGCTACAGAGCCAAAGCACGCCGTTTCACTGCACAGCTAAATATAGTTCACCTAAAATAATTTGCTGGTTATACTTTCACGAGTAAAGCTATACACACACCGGAGTGCACTTCAGACGGAAATGGCTATACGCACTCCGCTAA